ATACAACTCAAGGATTCTGGCTGACCTGGGTTAACCCTTTGGACGACCCCACAATAGTCTTTACCTCTCAATGTCCGTGCGGAACTTCATTCCACATCGACTGAGAGTCGTCTCCCCCCTACCATATAAGCCCTTGGCCTCAATGGAGGAGGTACTCACTAGCACTTAATCAAGTGGCTAGGGGGTAATCATCCCTAAGGGGCTCAGGCTTATAAGGGGGTGGGGGAGACGACTCTCAGTCGATGTGGAACGAAACTCCGCACAGACACTGAGAGGTAAAAACTGTTGAAGGGTCGTCCAAGGGATTAACCCAAGTCAGCCAGAATCCTTGAGTTGTGTAAGAATTTGTACCAACAAACATGTAACAAATGTATCATGTTTTAAAAGGGTGTGCCCCTAAAATATAATCCCAAACTTAAAAGGGTGGCAATTGATTTTTTTCAAAATAAAGAAGATACCTCTTCAAATATAGATGAATAATAAGGTCTATGAGTATAATTTGTGAGATCTCAATCTTTTCTAATATTTATTGTCTTCAATTCTCTTTCTTGGGAATCATCCATTACTTACGAGTGAGGGCCTTATTTCTAGGGTTGTTAAATAAGATGAGCTACTCAGGCTTAATTTGGGTTCGGCTAAAATAAAACTCAGGTTGAGCTCAATTTGTGTTCTAAACGAGATAAATTTGAACAATTTTTTAGACTCTTTTAGAAAAACAAGTCTAAAAGAACCACCTTGTTTATATGTAAAATAGTCGAGCAATTAGGGCTAGAGCTCAGGTTCAGCTCATTTTCTAAACAAATTGAGTTTGAACAATTTTTTAAATTCGTTTTTCAATGGACTTGGGTTCAAACTCGCAATACTCAGCTTAATTAACACTCCTACCTAATTGTATACAATATGTCTCACTTGAACGAATGATAGTCGACCCATACACTAATATAATAGATGAAAATGATGAAGTTCGGGCTCACGACCTTAACGGTTAATAGACGGGCAACGAGTGTTGGACTAAATACTAATGTTCTGCATGGTAGGGAGGATGAAAAGTAGGAAGAATGAAAAGTAGGAGAGATACACTTTCTATCCTTCAATGATGAAAAGTAGGAGAATACATTTTTCTTCCTTTATGTTTAGTTGAATTGATGGAAAATAAAAATAACTATTTTTTTTTGTGGTGACTAAGATTAGGGGTGACAATCGAGTCGTGTCGTGTCAGATTCGTGTTGAGTCATNATTTTAAAAAAAGGATAGATATGGCTATATATGCATATATGTAAAACATTGTTGGTACAAATTTTTATACAACTCAAAGATTATGGCTGACCTGGGTTAACCTTTTGGACGACCCCCCAATAGCCTTTACCTCTCAATGTCCGTGCGGAACTTCATTCCACATCGACTGAGAGTCGTCTCCCCCCTACCATATAAGCCATTGGCCTCAATGGAGGAGGTACTCACTAGCACTTAATCAAGTGGTTAGAGGGTACTCATCCCTAAGGGGCTCAGGCTTATAAGGGGGTGGGGGAGACGACTCTCAGNATTTGTGTCGAATATTAATCAAACCTAATTTAACTTATTTAATTAATTGTGTCGTGTCGAGTTGCGAGTTGACATGTTTATTTTCATATCGAATTCAAGTCGTGTCATCGTGTTGAGTCGAAAATTTTCAACTTTAGTTAAGATGGAAAAAATATATTTTTTTTAATTTTAAATTTTAAATTTTTTTATTTTATTAAATTATATATTACCATTGTATTTTTATATAAAATTAATGNACTTTAGTTAAGATGGAAAAAATATATATTTTTTAATTTTTAATTTTTAATTTTTTTATTTTATTAAATTATATATTACCATTGTATTTTTATATAAAATTAATGTATACATAATATATGTATATATAAAAAAGATATATAAACAAATAAGTTATATCTCAACACAAATAATTAACTTTTCATTCACTTTCCTNCTGAGTATAATTTGTGAGATCTCAATCTTTTCTAATATTTATTGTCTTCAATTCTCTTTCTTGGGAATCATCCATTACTTATGAGTGAGGGCCTTATTTCTAGGGTTGTTAAATAAGATGAGTTACTCAGGCTTAATTTGGGTTCGACTAAAATAAAACTCAGGTTGAGCTCAATTTGTGTTCTAAACGAGATAAATTTGAACAATTTTTTAGACTCTTTTAGAAAAACAAGTCTAAAAGACCCACCTTGTTTATATGTAAAATAGTCAAGCAATTAGGGCTAGAGCTCAGGTTGGGCTCATTTTCTAAACAAATTGAGTTTGAACAATTTTTTAGATTCGTTTTTCAATGGACTTGGGTTCAAACTCGCAATACTCAGCCTAATTAACACTCCTACCTAATTGTATACAATATGTCTCACTTGAACGAATGATAGTCGACCCATACACTAATATAAGAGATGAAAATGATGAAGTTCGGGCAACGAGTGTTGGACTAAATACTAATGCTCTGCATGGTAGGGAGGATGAAAAGTAGGAAGAATGAAAAGTAGGAGGGATACACTTTCTATCCTTCAATGATGAAAAGTAGGAGAATACATTTTTCTTCTTTTATGTTTAGTTGAATTGATGGAAAATAAAAATAACTATTTTTTTTTGTGCTGACTAAGATTAGGGGTGACAATCGAGTCGTGTCGTGTCAGATTCGTGTTGAGTCATTACGGATTTGTGTCGAATATTAATCAAACCTAATTTAACTTATTTAATTAATTGTGTCGTGTCGAGTTGCGAGTTGACATGTTTATTTTCATATCGAATTCAAGTCGTGTCATCGTGTTGAGTCGAAAATTTTCACCTTTAGTTAAGATGGAAAAAATATATTTTTTTTAATTTTAAATTTTAAATTTTTTTATTTTATTAAATTATATATTACCATTGTATTTTTATATAAAATTAATGTATACATAATATATGTATATATAAAAAAGATATATAAACAAATAAGTTATATCTCAACACAAATAATTAACTTTTCATTCACTTTCCTTTCGATTTTGGAGAGATTGATTTTGGTGAGTTGGAAGAGAAGTTAATTCATTCACTTTTCCATCCTTTCTACTTTCCTTTCTTACCAAACATAATGTTTTATTTTTCTTTTCAACTTTTCATCCTCCTACTTTTTCATCGTACCAAACAGAGCATAATCTTGATGATAAGTGATTTAACCAAAAAAAATTGAATCTCCNGAGTTGGAAGAGAAGTTAATTCATTCACTTTTCCATCCTTTCTACTTTCCTTTCTTACCAAACATGATGTTTTATTTTTCTTTTCAACTTTTCATCCTCCTACTTTTTTATCGTACCAAACAGAGCATAATCTTGATGATAAGTGATTTAACCAAAAAAAATTGAATCTCCTATCTCATAAATTTATTTCAACGTCTCAGATTAATTGATAAATGTAAACAATTAATTTGACGAATAAAATTCAAAACATAAGGTTCAAATGACGGGATTTATAATGGTAATTTATCAACGAGTCTTTGGTCTAATGATACTCCTTATTTTGTGAAGGTTTTATCTTTTTGAGATCAAAGGTTCAAGTCTTCTTTACCCCTCTCCCTCTCTCTCCCAAAAAAAAAATTTTTTTTTTTAAAATAATAAATAATGCGAGTCGGGAGTCGGGAGTCGGGACCAAGGCTAAAGAAGGGGACGACGTCATCCGTACGCCAGCCTCCCTTGACGGTGACGTCGAAAGTCAGCAGCATATCCTTAGAGCATCTTGAGTACCACGTTAATTCTTNTCCCAAAAAAAAATTTTTTTTTTTTAAAATAATAAATAATGGGAGTCGGGACCAAGGCTAAAGAAGGGGACGACGTCATCCGTACGCCAGCCTCCCTTGACGGTGACGTCGAAAGTCAGCAGCATATCCTTAGAGCATCTTGAGTACCACGTTAATTCTTTTTTTCGGAAGGTTATTATATTAATTTTTAATCAATTCCTTATTTTAAAGATTAAATTCTTCAAAATCAATTTTCAATAGTTTCTTTATATATATAAGTCAAGAGCAATACTATTTAATTTTAATTTAGAGAATTAATTCATTATAACTATTAAATTGACAATCAATCAAAATATTGGATAGAACTCAATTTTCATCTGAATATAATACAATTAATATTTTTTGGAAATTACAAAAGAGAGTCCAATATGTTTTTTAATATTTGGAGAGTCAAACTCATTTTTTACTTCATCTATATTAAATAAAAAATAATAATATACACCTTTTTTATTAAATTCTTTTGACACTAGATTTTTTTTACTAAAATAGAAAGCCATGTTAAAATTAGACCTGTCAATAGATTGGATTATGATCTAAATCGAATACGAATCTGTATCCGATTAGTTAGATATAAATTAATATTTTTTATTGATAATTTAAATCCAAATTTGATATCTTATATTTCACGAATTTTGAATTTAGATATACTTATATTCGATCTAATTATGGTCAGATCCAAATTATTTATATATTTTTTATATAAATATTAAAAAAATAAGTGATTATTTAAAACAAATTAGTTCAAATTTAAGTATAATTTGTTAAATTTTAATTAATTAAGTCACTCGAATGAAATCGAATTTCGAATTATTAATAGTTTCAAATATAAACTACAAAAATAAAATTCATCAAATTATCAAAACCAAACCGTTGTTTGGCTAAGTTAGATTCGTATAAAATTTTTAAGGATAAATTATATTCGGACCCCTTAAAGTTTGTTACTTGAACAGACAGACTCCTTCACATTTAAAAAATTACAATGAGATCCCCTGTCAATAACTGCCAGTTAACAACCCTAACAGAAGTTGCAAAATATCTATTCTACCCTTTGATAAAAAATATTAAAAAAAAAAAACTTACCCATAACTAATAATCCAAACCCATCAACCCAATAAATCTCTTATTCTCTTTTTTCCCTCTGCAACACTTTTATTCAAATCTAATCACCACCACCGATCGCGACCAATCAATCACCCAAAACCACCATTCGCTCCCACTGGTTGCAACCAATCAACCACCCAAAACCACCACTATCGCCCTTTGTCCCATTGTTTGCTACTAACCAATCAACAATCCAAAACCCTACAAAACTGCTAACTGTCTCCCTTCGCCCCCACTCGCTGCAAATCTGCTTAGCCCTCTCTCTCTCTCTCATACACATACAAACAAAAGTCGCAAAGCACCCATGCCCACCCGTTACCCCCTCATCATCCAAAGCGTCGCTGACCTTTTTCTGCCCACCCACCATCGCAAAGCCTTTATCTCTTAAACTCTTCACCGCGACCCTTCCCCAGCAAACCTCTACCTTGCTATAGCCCCTAAACCTAAGGGCCACAATTCTGTCAATTGTTGGAGGGAGAGACAAAATTGCAGCCAAGCCAACTGAACGGAGAAAACTTCAATGACATTTTTATGGATGAACCTCATTAAGATAAATTAGAGATGTGGATGAGGAATTAGTGGGTGTGATTGAGGTGGTCTTAAGGAATTAGGCAAAGGTGTACTGATGGTGGTGAGTGGTAGATTCTTGTCATGTGATGGTGGTAGTAGGTGGGGCGCATAACGGTGCTTCCATGGTTCATCCATGGTGGAGATTGTGCTCATGGTTGTTTGTGGGCGAGTGTCTATGAGAAACGGTAATGGTGGTTAAAGTTGCGTGTGCGTAATGGGTGGTGGTGGCCGCGGCGACAAATGGGTGGTGGAGGTGGAGGAGCGTAGGGGGGCAAAAGGATAGACAGGGGGCTTAGATGAGAGTGTTGCTGGTAGAGAGAGAGAGAGACGATGAAGGAAATCATAGCAACACTTCGTGAGATTTTTGCTGCAAACTCAACTTTTGGATTTTGTAGATATTAATGTTGGATATTTCTAGGGTAATTTAGAGATTTTGTTATAAGAATATGCTGACTTTATTGAGATTTAACGACATTTTGGAGGGACTTTAACACCAGGGGGCTATATGTTATAGCATATCAAACTTTAGGGGGTGGCAGTGTTATATTTTACACTTGAGGAGGTCCGTTTGTATTAGTGACAAACCTCAAGGGGTCTTGATGTAATTTATCTAATTTTTAATTATATTTTATATTTTTAAATAAAAAATATTCTCCATTTGATTAAAAAAAATACTCTTTGTATAGTTAAAGGAGTAATTGTTGGATCACACACGCCACGTTATTGATGACGTCATGATCCCAATTAATTCAAACAATTTTTTTATATATAAAACGGTAATACTTTATGATTGAAAGAGAGGATCAAGGAAATTAGGGTATTCCTCCGCCCATGAGATATGGTCATTATTACGCATAAAGAATAATGTGGTAATTCTAACATAATTTTAAGATGTCAATTTCACATAAAGATAAATTAAAATAATAATAAAATAAACAAAGAAATTAAAGAAAAATATTAAATGATTACTGAAGAATAAAGATTAATTTTAAATGCAAATTAAAGTAAAACAAAGTGACTAACGAAAAAAGTACTCAAATTTGACAAACAGTAAAGATTCGAGAACCACTTGCACAAATCTAGTATTTTAATTATTTTTAATGCAGTAAATAACTAAATTGAGAATTCAATTCCCAAATTTCTCAACCGGTAGATATAGATTTATAAACCAAGATTAAATCACATGTGACCCTTTGAAAAATTATTCACCACTTTGAAAATACATAAATTATTGTTACTATTAAGAAAATTCAACGACGACAATATACTCTTTCTGTTCTTAAATATCTGTCGTTTTATATAATTTTTTTTATTTCATAATGTCTGTCGTTTAATGAAACCAAAACATAATTAATATTTTTTCTTCCAAATTTACCCTTAACTTTTCAATGTAATAGATTTTGTGGAAGTTAAGTGTCTTTCATATTTTTTTCCTTCCCAGAACGTATTGAATAAAGGTATTTTAGTCTTGTGCAATTATTTTTAACTCATATTAGGGCTATTTAATAACTTCTTTAATCTCTGTGCAAAAACTTTAAACGACATATATTTAGGAACGGAGGGAGTACTTAAAAAGTAATATTGCAGCAAAAAATTAAATCAATATAGATAAATAAATTGATCCAAACATAATTAAAGAACTAATTCATTCAATAGAAAAAGCATGAGTGAATCCATAAACAGAATAAATTCTATGATTATTCGGAGAAGAAAATATCAACAATANTGTATACCATTAGTCTAGGGATACAACTCGGGCGGGTTGGAAGAGTTGAGAGGTCAACCCTAGTCCAACCTTTGGTATATAATCTTTAACCCTAACCTTACTTCAACCCAAATACTGCCCAAGTTTAATCCAGGCGAGCTTAGGTTGAATTCGGGTTACTTAATTCGGGCTAATTTTGAGTTAAAAATTAGGTTGAACTTAAGTTATTTTATTCAAGTTGATTTTTTGAAGTGTAAATTTGATTTTTTCAAGTGTAAATCTAATTTTTTCAAGTGATCTGAGATGAAGGGCGAAGAACATATGAAGAGAGGGAGTGAAAGAGGGAGTGAGAGAAGGAGAAATGACGAGTGAAAGAAGTAGGCTGAGAGTCTAAGACAACTGAAACGAGTGACAATTGGAGGAGGAAGGCTGAGAGAGAGAGAAGTGACAAGTGAGAGGTATCTGAGGGTGATGAAGGTGTAGGGGTGAAGGCATAAAGTGAAGTAAAAGTCTGAACTCTAAAAAGTAAAAATAAATACTAACGCTAGTTAAATATATTTATATATTTATGTATATTCGGGTTGAACCCGACANAAGAAAGATAAAACAAAAGATTTTAACTAATTAAAAATTAATTGTATAAATTAAAAATAAATAAAATATCATCTATTGTGTAAGTTCATCCCTCGCTTTACCTGAGAATTTAATTATTTATAAAATTAATGAACAATAAAAATCTCTCAAAAAAAAAAAAGAATAAAATACTGGCCATCGGAATTTTTCTCGTGAACTGCTTCTACCCCCAAACCAGAATAGGCACCTCCTGCCTTTTTCTTTCTTCCAGCTGCCACACACCAAAAGAAAAGAAAAGGCACAGCAGCCGCAAAGAAAAGAAAAAGCAAGAGCAAGGGTTTTTCTAAAAGTCGATACCCTTTTTGAAAAATTTCTTTTCCTCTCCCTCTTTTTTTAGCTTTTCTATTTCAGCTTCTAAAGCTCAAATTTTTTTATTTCAGACCCTAAAATCCAAATCTTGTGTAATTTAAGAAAGATAAAGTCCAATAAAAACTATGAGTACCGGGCCCTCGTGACAGCAGCATCAGTTTTAGTCTTTTTACTCATGGGCTGCCATAAAAATAAAAAAAAATAAATATAAAAACCTAACAATGAAGTCCGAAAAATGTAGAGTGTCAAGCCCAATTGTANTGCTCAACCCGAGTATTAAAAATTCTAACCCAAGCCCTTTTTTTTTTTGGGTTGGGCTTTGGTTGAATTCGGGTTGACCCGCCCAAATTACACCCCTACATCCAGCTGAGAGTCAAAGTAGCTTCTGCATGCTAGACCACTCCTAAATNCCTTTTTACTCGTGGGCTGCCATAAAATTAAAAAAAATAAATATAAAAACCTAACAATAAAGTCCGAAAAATGTAAAGTGTCAAGCCCAATTGTAAATTATATTTCATCAACTAATAATACAATATTTAAGATTTAAAATATTATAAAATCATGTTCAAATATATCTCAGTGTAAATAGATATTAAATATAATAATATAAATTATATCTAATTATTTATATTCACATTTTAGCATTTTAATCTAATAATAAGGTATTTAGAATGCACTTTCGTGCACTCATCAAGTCATTACAATTAGTAGCAAAACGAAATAAACAATCAATCACGCCATTTATCATAATGCCTGACTCAAGACGTGAAAAGAAAAACTCGATAAATTTGTATCGAATTTTATCTTCTCAAAAAANCGTCTCATTGACATGCTCCTAATTTTGTAATTGCAATGTATCTTCCTTTTTCCTTTTTCTTTTTCATTTTCTTTTTTCTTTTTTTTTTTTTTGGAGATTTTGAAACATGCATGTAAGCTACTAGTTTTGACCAATGTTANGTATACGAGTAAATATTAAAAGAAACACTACTAAATAAATAAATTGAACCTCAATATTTTATTTAATATATATATATATATATATATATATATATTTTTTTTTTTTGTATATAATTTTATGTCAATTTACTCGCACATAATTTACTTATTATGACTGTATAGGTCGATAATACCACCGTTATACCAAATATTTATGTCGGCATGTGCTGTCTAGTAGCAAGACCACCACTCCTGCAGTGCTGTCACATTTAGTTCCAAATCTCTGAATATATTTCCCCTCGTTGTTAAATTAATGAGGTGTCACCATCGTTCTAGTTTACCAAATCAACTCTTTAAATAAATCATTAGCACATGTGTGAGAGAGAGAGAGAAGGGTGGTTGTTATTGATGAATTTAAGAACAATGGAATTACAGGAAGGTGGGAATAAAGGAGTCAATCAAATTTGAATTATGTTATTTTGGATTCTATCAGTTCTCATGTTGTCAAGATGACTCACTTGGCTAAATTGTACACTTTTTTAGTCCTGAAATAATGAATGTTGATGATATTAAGATTAATACCAGGAATAAATAGAAGAATAACGTATGAAAAGAGGTAATAGACAAGATCTATCTCCCGGCTTTCAGTTGCATGTTTTGCCTCAAGAAGAAATGTCTAGATTGTCCAAGTATGACCTCGTACAAGAGGTCATCCTAAACAAAAACGACTTCACAATGCCATCTCAACATATGATCTTTCACAGATATAAATGACTACAATGTATCTAAGTTTGAAGACGAGCTACAATGCCACTTTAGCATATTTTAGAAGACCACTTCACACATAGTGAATAAAGTATTTTACAGCAAAATATTTCCTCAATAAAATTATACAATAGGCATATCCTTATATAAATAACCACTTGTAATCTCTGTTATTGTCTCTCTATCTTATTCCAAGCAATAAAAACCCCCAAAGAACAAGAGACTCTCTTATAGTGTGTTTGGTATAGCGAAAAATTGGGTGGAAGGAAAGTGAGAGAGGGAAAATGGAAGGGAAATAAAAGGTTTCCATTGTTTAGTATCAAAAGAAAGTATGAGGGAGTGGAAAATGGGAGGGGATCTCTATCCTTCTAGTCCACCAAATATTTTCAATCCAAATTTGAACAGAAAATGGAGGGAAAAAGTGAAGGCAAGACTACAATTTTTTAAGTTGACATTTTTACCTTTTATTTATTGGATGTATTTCATTCCCAGTTCATACATATTTTGTCGATCACCATAAGGTATAACTACAATTATAGCTAGAAATTTGATCAAGCAAAATCAACCAAATGTTTAGTATTTAACAAAAACATTCTNACATAACGGTGCTTCCATGGTTCATCCATGGTGGAGATTGTGCTCATGGTTGTTTGTGGGCGAGTGTCAATGAGAAACGGTAATGGTGGTTAAAGTTGCGTGTGCGTAATGGGTGGTGGTGGCCGCGGCGACAAGGTATTTTAGTCTTGTGTAATTATTTTTAACTTATATTAGGACTATTTAATAGTTTCTTTAATCTCTGTGCAAA